TCAAAACTTCAACGAATTCCTCCTGGTGTCAACATCAACATTTGTAATTATTCTGGGAAATGTTTTATGTATCCATCATTACTTACACAATGCCAAAAAACACATATTGGTGAAAAGCCTTACAAATGTAATGCTTGTGGGAAGGCTTTTAGAGAAAGCTCAAACCTCACTAGTCACCAGAGAATTCATTCTGGGCAGAGACCTTACAAATGTAATGTGTGTGGCAAAGCCTTTACCCAATTTGCAAACCTTACTAGACATGAGAGAATCCATACCAGAGAGAAACCATATAAATGTAATATATGTGGCAAGGTCTGTAGTCAAAATTCAAATCTTGCAAGTCATCAGAAAATTCATACTGGAGAGAGACCTTACAAATGTAATGAGTGTGACAAAGCCTTCTCCGAGCGTTCAAGCCTTACTCTACATAAGAGAATCCATACTGGAGAGAAACCTTATAAATGTAATGAATGTGGAAAGACTTTTAGAGTAAGCTCGAATCTCACTAATCATCAGAGAATTCATTCTGGGCAGAGGCCTTACAAATGTAATGAGTGTGACAAATCCTTTAACCGCACCTCACACCTCACTAGACACCAGAGAATCCATACCGGGGAGAAACCATATAAATGTAATGTATGTGGCAAGGTCTGTAGTCAACATTCAAATCTTGTAATTCATCAGAGAATTCATACAGGAGAGAAACCTTACAAATGTAATGAATGTGGCAAAGCCTTTATGGAGCGTTCAAGCCTTACTCAACATAAGAGAATCCATAGTGGAGAAAAGCCTTACAAATGTAAGGAATGTGGCAAAGCCTTTAACCAGTCCTCTAACCTTGTCATACATCAGATAATTCATACTGGAGAGAAGCCATACAAATGTGATGCGTGTGGCAAAGCCTTTAATGTGTGTTCAAGCCTTACCCGACATCAGAGAATCCATACTGGGGAGAAGCCTTACAAATGTAATGAGTGTGACAAGGCCTTTACCCAATTCGCAAACCTTACTAGACATCAGAAAATGCATACTGAAAAGAAACGTTGTAAACCTAATATATGTAGCAAGGCTTTTATCCAGAGATGAAGCGTTGGGGATCATCAGAGAATTTGTAGTGGAGAGAAACCTCACAAATGTGTGTGGCAAAGCCTTTAATGTGTGTTCAAACCTTACTGGACGTCAAGGAATCCATACTGAAGAAACCATGAAAGTCACATATTTGGCAAAGCCTGTAACCAAGTCTCACGTTTTAACTAGACATAGGAATATATGTCTTTGAAAGAAACCATATAAACGTAATACGTATGGCAGGGCTTTTTTCTGAAGATCAAGCTTTATGTAATATTAGAATTCCTACTGGAGAGAAACCTTATAAATGAATGTGTTAAGCTTTTATGAAATGTTCATACCTTTGGGGTCATGAGAGGATTCATATTGGAGAGAAAACCGTAAAATGTATTGAATGTGGCAAAGTCTTTAGACAATGGTCTGACCTCAGGATTCACCAAAGAATTTATATTGTAGAGAAATCTTAAAAATGTAATGAATGTG